TGAATTCTTTTATCATGTTTATAATTGTTCTTTTGAGTTCCATGTCCTGCATTATCTCTAGGGGGTTTTTACTGAACTCCTCTAGAGGACTATTGGTATTTGGTGGGGATATGTTATTTTGGTCTTTCATGTTATTATTTTTTCTCTGTGATTTTGACATGTGGATTTCTTTTGTAGTTTCTGATTCTTGTGTGAGACTCAAGCCTTCAAGTTTAGGTCTGCTTTTTTTGTGAACTTTATATGTCTTTGTGGTTTACTTTTGGGGCATGAAAAGCTGGTTTGTCTAAGCTTCCTGTTCTCTCTTGATTTTATATTGGAGAGTCCAGACTGCTTTTGTCTCCAGGAGTTCCCACAGAGGCCCAAGTCAGATGAGGATCAGATGCTCTCAGAGTTTCTCCTAAGGTCTGGATCTCACCAGGAAAGATTCTGGCCTCAGGAATTTGGGGGTTGGAATGGCCTGGGAGCTGGGCCAAGAAAGATGCTGGTCTAGGGCAGCTGGTGGCTATGCCACCCAGAGATGCAAAGGCAGATGAGGGTGGGAAGCGGCCCTAAGGGCTCCTGGGGACTGCACTGAGGACATGGGTTGGTCTGGATGCAAAGGATCAGGAAGAGGAAAGGTCAAACCCCCCTTCCGGAAAGAGGCTGGTCGTTGGTGCAGGGCCAGGGAAGTAGAGGGAGGTGAGGGTGGGGCCAGGCCCAGAAGCAGTGCTCCTGGGGCCCAGAGGGCCTAGAGAAGGAACTACGCTGGTCTGGATGAAAAGGATCAGGAAGCAGTATTGGTTCCCCAGGTGTCTGGGGCCCCAAAACAAGGAATGGGGCAGGACCCAAACTAGGAGGAGAGAAGGGCAGAGAAGATGGGAGGGTGAATGAGGCTGGGGGGGTCAAGGCACCGAGGGCACAACGGACTTACCCCGGAGAGAGGCCTGCCGCGGGTCCTGCAGGCCCAAGGAAGCAGCCCCACTTCCCTTTTTTTAAAGACAGTATTCCATATAACCCAGGCGGATTTCAAGCTTGTTTTTGTAGCTGAGGATGACCTTGAACTCCTGATCCTCCTTCTCAAGTACTCAGATTATAGGTGCCACCATCATGGCCAGGCTGCATTATTTTCTTTACAATGTTTATCAGTATATAGAACATAAGCTGCAGGAGGGTGGGGCCTTGTGCCTTTTCTAGTGCCTAGACAGGGGTCTGCTGGGTGTGGATGCCAGTTATTTGTAGGAGCAAAAGAGTAAATACAGTGATGTGAGTGTTGAACTTGAACTTGAGGTAACTCCCAACCTAAGAGTGTATGAATTTCCCACTGTCACAGTCACGGGAAGACCTTCATTTTAGCCAATGAGAACTGATAAGCCTTGACCCTGACCTTCCCTCCAGGAAGCTGGGGACCTCAGTGGCTACCACACCTCAAGGCACAGAGGAGTCTGGGCATGGTGAGCTGCGTTAAGTAGCCGGAGTTCACAGGGAGGATCAAGGCAGTCCCTGCTCAAGCCAGGGAAGACTTCCTGGAAGAGGTGGCATTTCAGAGATGCCTTGACACTAAGAAGGATTTGGCCAGGGGAGCATAGCGGGAGATGACATCTCTACCTGAGGCTGGAGAGGTGGAGAGTTGCCAGCATGACACCCCATTTGGCTTCAGAAGCATCAAGGAAGGTGGATCAGTGTAGTGAGCTCAGGTCCACTCTTAAGGGACTTTAAGGGTCATGGGCTCTGGTTTTCCCCTGTGACGGGATGCCAAGAAGCCCATGAGGAGAGGGAGCCATGTGGATGACAGGGTGCTCACAGAAGAGGACAGGAATGTGATTTTTGTTTGAGCAGTGAAAGAGCACACTTCTCCATCAGGGTCCTCAGGGCAGGGTAGTAGAGGAGGAAGACTAAGAGGGGGATTGATGCTGGACCCCAGGGGGATGGGGACAGAGCTAGATCAACAAGAAAGAGACTAGAAAACCCTTTGGGGCTTGTAAGAACCTGCAACATGTTGGGTATGGGCCCTGCCAAAGCAGGGTGGCCATTTCCTGTTCTCCTGGGGCTAGCAGCTGCCCTCTTAGAGGCCCATCCCCCACTGGTGAGGCCCTGCTCACCTTGAGCCTTGGTATGTCCCCCAGGCCTGGCACTGCTACTGGAGAGGGTTTTTCTCCATTCTCCCCTGTCTTCCTACCCTGCTTGGCAGCTTGGGGCACCAGCTGTCCCCACATTTCCTGTCTGGCTAGCTCTCCTTGGTCCTAGCCAACTCCTTTCATCCCAGGCAGGTAACATTTGGTGTCTTTTCCCTACTTGCAGGGGGCCGGGGGGAGGGTGTCTATCTGGCGTCACAGATGTTGCTGCTTTGTCTGTGGGACATGCCATGGAAATGCCAGGCACTGGGGAGCCTCCAAAGATGGATTCTCCTTCCTGCAGAGCCAAGTCTCTTGTGCCATGGAGTGGGTGAGATGAGCTGGAAGAGGTAATCAGGGTATGCTGACATCGCCTGGGTGTCCTTAACCAAACTGCAAGACCCACCTTCTCTTCTATGCCCTTAGCACTCTAGGATTTCCCCCAGGCTGGAGCAGATGGACTCAGCACCCCCAGGCTAAGGCCCCCCCAAATCTCACCCACATTCTTACCATACCATGTAGTCCCCCAATTTAAATCAACTCATTCTGTGTTTCAATTTTTTTAGCTTTGTCTTAAGCATCTGTAGAATGTAATGTGTGTTGGAAGGCTAGTCTTACCCACTGCCTGAAGCATCCAAATAAGGGAGCTGGAGAGGCGGCTCAGTGGGTTAAGCATGAGGACTGGAGTTCTGATCCTCAGCACCCAGGTAAAAGCTGTGAGGCAGTGCACATCTGTCATCTGTAACCTCAGTGCTCATAAGGTTTGGGGCTGGGAGACTGAGATAGGCAATCCCAGCAGCTTGCTAATCGATGAGCTCCAGGTTCAGTGGAGAGCTATTGAAGAAGACTCCTGATGTTGACCTCTGCCCCCCCCCACACACAAATAATGCAATAAAAGATTTAAAAGCAAACATACATGTGCTGGTGTGAGCAAGTAAATGCACCTGCTGCCAAGTCTGATGACCGAGTTTGATCCCCAGAATCCACATGGTGGAAGGAGGAGACAGACTCCCACAAATTGTCCTGTGACCTTCACGCAAGCATTTTCACTCTACCCCCACACATATTTTTTTTTAAATATATAATTTAGGGCTAGAGAGATGGCTCAGTGGTTACCAGCATGTACTGCAGAGGACCCGAGTTCTGTTCCAGGCACCTACACTGGGCAGCCTACAATCACCCATAACTCCAGCTCCAGAGGATCTGATGCATCTTTTGACCTCCTTGGACACCCATGTGCATACATACAGACACATACATACACCTACATAAAAATAAAATAAATCTAAATCTACATATAATTCTTAAGAAAAAAGCATAGAAATAAGTATTAAGAGTGATCATTCCCTTCCTGTATCTCCAACAATCATGTGCTTTGGGGTTTGTATCGTGCTTTGAGCTGAGCTAAGTGGCACCCTATCCCGGGAAAGAGGTATGTATTTGTGGGGCATCTGATTTGTTGGTTACACGGGAAGAAAACAAAGGAAGGCTCGAGCTACCCAGACCAACAGAAAGCTCACTGCTGGGCTCTTGTAGCAATGAGGTGATGGACTGGTTTGGAAGCAGGTCCCATCCAGCAGGGCAGTGCTGCAGGCAGTGGGGAGGGAGGGAAAGGTGGGTTGAGAGAAGACAGGAAGGCAAGGATGTCCTTGCCCAACCTCATTGTGCCTTCCCTTCTCCCTGCCACAGGCTCCCTCAACCTCCTGGTGCGGTCCCGGAACAAAGGAACTCTGGACACACATGCCTGGTCCCTCAGCGGTAATAAGGGCAATGTGTGGCAGCAGGCCCATGTGCCCATCAACCCCAGTGGGCCCTTCCAGGTGAGTCACTGACCTGAGGCTGTTCCTCAGGGCAGAAGGCTGCTCAGTCCAGAAGCTCTCATGCTGGGTCCCGTGGGTTAAGAAGGAAAACAAGTAGGAAGTGGGGGACTTCCAGGTAGCCTGAGGTGAAGTCGGGGTGGGGGGGGGCGCTCGGGTACCCAGCCCAACCTCCTCAACCCAGCCCCTCCCCCTGCTGTCTGACTCCACCCCAGATTATTTTTGAGGGGGTTCGAGGCTCTGGCTACCTGGGGGATATTGCCATAGATGACGTCATGCTGAAGAAGGGAGAGTGTCCCCGGAAGCAGATGGATCCCAACAAAGGTAGGAGATGGGAAAGGGATCAGGGGGCTGACTCCATGGGGCTTTGAGGGAGGGCACCTGCCTGTCAGTAGGGAGGACATTCGTGTCAGCATGGGTCTCCAGGTGCCCAGATGAGGACAGCTGTGTGCCTGGCTATGAATGAATGCCCACCTGGGTCCTCCCAACCCCCCAACTGGGGCCGTGAGATGTATGGAAGGTCTCAAGAGGCCCCTGGCCCTACCCTTCTCTGGAACTTATTGAGTTGTTTGTAGTGTGTGGCCACAGTATTTCTAATACCAACAGCTCCAGCTGACTAAGCAGTTGCGTGTACCAGGCACAGGTACAGAAACCTGCATAGCAGGTTTTGCTTAATTGTCCTGGCTGCTCCCAAGGCTATCTGTTATTATTAGACCCATTTTATAAATGAGAAAACTGAGGCCCACTGAGGTCAAGCCCATTGCTCCATGTCTTAACGAATGTGAACTACAGTAGGGTGAGTTAACCCTTATACCACGCCACCTCACGTCTGTGCCCACCTTCAGGCCTCCCCGGCAGAGATGAGGCAGAGTCATGGGGCCTCCCACGGCCTGACTGTCTGTCCCTTCCTACCCCTCCCGGAGCTGACCAGAGCCCTGGCCCGTCTCCTGTCTCTCTTCTTCACAGTGGTGGTGATGCCAGGCAACAGAGCCCCCCGCTTGTCCAGCCTGAAGCTCTTCGGACCCATGGCCATCTTTTTCTTGGCATGGCAGAGATGATGAGCGCTGCGTGGATCCCCCACCCCGCCCCCGGAACACCAAAGTGTCCACATCGTACCAAAGACTGACCCCTGCCAGCTGGGGTGCCCAGGGGCATGGCCGGCTCGCCAGGAAGGGGGCCTTCATTGGCTTCAAGGATGATCAGAGAACAAAGACAGAAGCCAGGATCTGAGGCTCTGGAGACGGTTGTTGGATACACGCACACACTCACACACTTACACTCCCACACACAGATATATTAAAGCACAACTTTCTATCCAACCTGCCAGCACCTTCTTTACTGCGGATTCAGGGGACTTGCCTGAGCGGCATCCAGGGACCTCAATACAACACAGGCCTCATCTTGGCTACACGGAGCTGTTTCTGACCTTGCCCTGACTCGAGGCCAAATGGCTGACACATCTGACTCGGGCTCCTTGGTTGAAGGATACAGAGATCAGAGGAGGGACTTTGTGAGCTTTGTGACTGTCCTTTGTCCAAAGACTGACAAGGAAGAGCCACCTGCTGCACTTAACTGTCCCGAGTATAGTATATATAGATGGTGGAGGCCCCAGTTGACCCAGATTCCCTTGACCTGTTTCTGGGATGTCATACCGTACTCCCTGCTGTGCCTGCTTGGAAGGGACCCAGTGTAAGGCTTAGGGCCTGTGCAGTATGAGGCCAGTCTCCTGATCCTGCCCCACCCCTCCCAGCAGCTGGACTCTACCCTAGCCTCAGCCCCAGCTTCGGACTTCAGCAGCAGCTTCCAAGCGGTAGCCAGGCCATTTTTCCAGGGTGTGGTTTGACTTTGAGAAGGGCACAGAGCCCTGCTTCTAGCCGCCCCCACAAAAGACACTGGATCTGGGAGCGGAGTGGAACCCCCTGTTTCTTACATATTTGACCTGATGGAGTCCTATAAGGAGGGGGCTGTGGAGGGCAGAGCACTGTCTAGTTGGCTCAATAGAAAGGTGGGGTGATGGATGGGAGCAGTCACCAGTCTTCTTGTGCCCTGAGATCTGGGAAGGACTACTTGTCCTTGGAGCTTGAGGTTGATGGATGGAATTTAGAGCTTTTGTCTTTGTCTCCCCTACTCCACACCCAGCTTCCATGAGAGAGAGGAACCCCAGCCCCTTCCAGGATGAGTCTTCATGCACACATACATGTGGTATGTCTGTGTGTGTGTGCAAGAGTGTGGGTGCTTATCTGTGTCTATGTACCATTGTGCACATCTCTGGACAGGAGTGCATGCAAATGAGTCTGTATGTGAATTGTACACATCTGTCTGTTAGGTTGGGCGTATGCCCCATTTCTGTGGGTGACTATCAGCATGTATGTTCTATCTTCATGACAACATGTGTTGTGGGGTGCTGGCCCTATTCTGTAGCCTGAGGCTCCCTGCCACAGCCTGAAAGCCCACCTTACATCCTCTGTGGGTGACCGCAGACAACCCTATTGAAGGCTAGCCCTAGGCTGGGGGCGTGGCCCGGGGCTCCTCCCAGAACATTTGGTGGCACAGCTGCAGAGAAGAGGCTGGAACCCAGGCAGCACTGCAGTGCCAGGAGGCAGATGGAGGATCAAGGCCCATGCTGCCCAGCTTCAGGCTCTGCTTGGCCTGAGTTATCATCATCACCGATAGCTGCTGAGTGGTGGGACCAGGCCTGCAGCGAGGCCTCTTGGTACCATACAGTATGGCTGCCTTCCTGGCCCCTTTAAGGTCTGTGTCTGAAGTGAGTTGCACTGGTTCCCAATACACGCTTCCCTGGCATCTGCTGGGCATTGTTCCTTAATTGTCCCATCTGTGCAGAGTCTGTTGCCCCAACTAGACTGTGAGCTCCTCCTCCAAGCCCTCTCCCTCTACCCCTTCTCCCCTCCTCCACACTTGCCTAGCACAAGCAAGATTAAGATGGAAATATTGTTGAATGGATTTGATCAGCCAATGGTTCTCCAGTCCTGGCTACTGAACAGACCCCCCTTTAGGTGGGCCCCAGCCCAGACAGTGTGATTTAATGGGACCAGAATGTCTGGCATTAGAAATACTGAGGCCCTTCAGAACCCAAGAGAGGAAAGACCTCTCAACTACAGGGCCTCTGGGATTGCCAGAGAAACAGCCCTACCACTTCCTCCTTGGGGTTCCCACCCTGCCCTAGGCCTGCTCCCTAGATTCAACCCTTGCCCTGACTGCTCCACTGTGGGGACTCAGCTCTGTATCTCAGAGCCTGATACAGGGAAACTACACAGTAGATGTTAGCCCTATGTTCCAGAATTTTCTCTGTAAGGAGGGCAGCCAAGACTTGAGGGTGTGTGGCCCGCAGTTACAAAGTATGTGTGTGTGTGCTGAAAAGTCTATCCTTGTGTATGAGTGAGTGTGATCAGGGTGTGCATGTCCATGTGAGCCAGTGGTGGGCAGGCCTGTGGTGTCTGCACTTAGGTCTCTGCAGGGTTGAGAGTCAGAGTATGTGCACCCGTGAGTGTGTAGGGCAGGAGTGCATCACTACACCTGTATGTATCCTTGTGGGTCAGTGGCGGGGTGAGTGGCATGAACACCCCAGTCCCCGGGAGACCAGGCTGGCTGGATCCAGTGTATCTCCCCGTGGCAGCCTCATCCACTAGGTAGGGTGATTGAGGCATATTGTGGCCTTAAAACAGGGAGCCTGGAAGCAACTCTCAGGATGCCTACAGGTTGGTGTCTGTGGGGAGAAAGGGTTCCTTGTAGCTGAATAGCAACCAATAGGCAATCTAGGCTTGACCATGTTGCCCCTGGGAATGCAGGTAGCCAGCCTCCTGGTGGTACATCTGAAGATCAAGCCTCCTCCTCCCGGCACGCTCTCCCCACTATCCCTCTTTCCCATCTACCTTCTTTCTCCTATTCTCTGGATGCACACCAGTATAGGCTGTCAGAACTCAGATGGGCCTCAGCAGTACAGTCTTGAGGGAGGCAAATGGAAAAACTGGAATGGAGACAGGTAGAGCTGGCCCAAGCCTTTGGAGGCCAAGTGCTACGGCCCTGGCTGCCACTGGCTGCCACTCCTGTAATCTCCTAACAGAATAGCTACAGGGAGCTGGGGGGACCTGTCCTATCTCAGGGTGCTATAGATGCTGCTGGATCTGTTACACACATGACAGGTGTTAGTGGGACTCACTAGGAAAGAGACCATCTCCCTGACCTATTCTGGCCGCTCCTCCCAGGACACAGACACTCCCAGCCCATGGAGGGTGTGGGTGCTACACAGAAGCTGCCACTTTCTGCCCGTAGTGCTCACCAAGCCCTCCTGGCTCCAGATTGAAGAGACTTTGTTTCCTCATTGTTCACAGCTGTCTGCTCAAGAGGCAGGGCTGGGGACTGAGGCCTGCAGGTCATCTAATCCTCATCCTCCTGATTTTCTCTAAAGACCAGGAGGGTGTGCAGAGTGCTTGAGTTGTTCTCTACCTGGATAGCCCCAGAGGGCTGGGAAGGGCTGGTTCCAGAACTAGACCCAGGGGTATGACAGGTGAATCTGCTCTGGAGAGTTCACCACAGGCCATTGGCTGAGGGTGGGTTCAGGCTGTGCTCTATTATTCTGTTAGTGCTGTGTGTGTGTGTGTGTGTGTGTGTGTGTGTGTGTGTGTGTGTG